AGTTGGTCCATGATGCTTCATCTCGTCTCTTCTTGTAGTAAGATTTACGGATAATTGAAAGTTTGGTTCTTTTGAGGTGTTTTGGTTTATGATGGTTTTGTATTTGGAAGGACAAATGTGTGACTTATGGTGGAATGTAACATAATGAATCGATCAACTCTACCCGAAAAGGTAAACATCTGGAGTAGGTGTCTTAAGAACAGGTAGAGACATTCTTCAGAGTCTCAGATAAATGTACGGTCAAAATTTGGTCTTTAGTAAGAATCAAGTAATTGGCATTGGATGGAAGGTATAATTTTATCACTTGCCAAAGATCTATAACTTTTGAAAAATTAAAAGAATATTTAATTTACTTGATACTCAATAATCTCAAGGTTAAAACTTGATTCCTTGCTCATAACCATAAAAGCAATACACATTTATTTATTGCACAAAAGGTGGAGAAAGGAACAAAAAAAACAAGTTCAAACAAGATGCTGAAAATAGAAAGTACTACAGTGGTAGATAACACTTCCACTTGTTTATGCATCATGCCTCATTATTCCTATAATGTTGGGTATGTAATAGGATCATGGTTCTTTTCTTCATTCGCCCCCCATTTCTTGATCATTTCTTGTGTCAAAACCCCTTTGTCAACAAGCATCTCAATTTCTTTTAACAGTGGCCTACAATTGCCTGTAGAATGCCCCTTTACCCCCAAATGGAAATTACAAACATTATCTTGATCATAGCTATGAGCAGAAGGGTTTGATGTCACTTTAGTTGGTCTTGGTGTGATGTATTGACCTTTAACCAAATGAGGATACAAGTCTGAAATGGAAGTTTGGAACACTTCCAAATTATTTCTTGATCGCATGACTTTCTTTGGTCGATCCGAACAGTTACTTGCTCTTTTTCTTTTGCAAATGCGGGAACTCTGGATACGACACTCATTTACATCATCAGCTTTCACTTTTTGATCCGTCGGGCTCTTGGATGTGACTTTTAAGTTTTCTTCACTGATTACATTCTCAATTAAATCTCCACTTGTCACAAGATTCCCAAATTCCTTTGTCGGATTTGCATGCATTAACTCGAAGAAAGGCGGTGGAAGGGAATCACGAAACATACGTGATATTTCTTCTTCTAGTATGGGAGGTTGAACTTGTGCTGCCACTCCTCTCCATCTTAAGGCATATTATTGAAATCTTTCATTGGTTTTCTTCTTTACTCTTCGAAGATCCATACGTGTTAGAGTTAAGCCTTTAACATACCGATATTGTTCCAAAAATGCATCAGCTAAATCAACCCATTTCTTGATCTGTTCTTGGGTCAACTGATTATACCAGACTACTATTGGGCCAACAAGGCTATCATGGAAAGAGTGAATTAACAGATCATCAGAGCTTAAATATCCTTCCATTTTTCTGCAAAACATTCTTAGGTGGATTAGAGGACAACTGGTGCCATCATATTTTTTAAAATTTGGCATTTTGAAATTATGGGGAATAACCAAGTGTGGAACCAAGCTGAGTTCTCTTGCTTCTAGTTCTTTGTGGGAAGTATCAACACATTTTATATTTCTGATTGCTTCATCCATCCTCTTGAATCTTTCCTCATATTGTGAATAATGAACAAGGCTATTCTTTGGGTTCAATTGGGATGCCCCAGAGTATGTTATCTTTCTCGACTCTTCAATCTGATAGCATGGTTGCTCTTTATCAATTATCTCTTCTTTATTAGATGCCACTCCCTGAATAATTTGATTTGATCTATCTGGTACTGAATCTGATGCTTCTTTCCTTGTATCCTGAGGTAACCTTGTCAATTGTTCTAGCCACTGATCCTGTAGTCCCTCATAAGATTGCTCCATTGTTTTCATGATGATGGTAAAGTAAAATGAATGAATGACCTTGGTTTTACTGTTACAAAACCTTTCATTAATTATTTACATGTTTTTATATTTAATGTATATAACAATACTTTAAATAAAAAAATGTAATGTAAATGCGAAAATGCATAAATGCCAAAAATAAAAATGCAAAATGTGCAATTCAAAGATATAAAAAGTAAGAATATAAAATGAAAATGCACAGATACAAAATGTAAATGCATGTATGAAAAGGTGTTACTCAAGAGTGATCATCTTAGAACAGATTTCATTGAACACAAAAGCTTCGGTACATCAAACAAAACTTTTACATGTAAGGGACAGCTTTTACTCCTAACTTCTCTATTTCCCTTAAAAGCCAAACTAACTTCCACTCATACTCAGGTGTGGAGTTATCCATCTGCTTCAATTCTCTTGCGAAGCCAGCTAAGTTTACCAACTTATGAGCCACATTGCTTGCTTGAGCAGTAATTTCCTTTGTGACATTGTCTTTTTCCTTCATCTTCTGTGTCAACTCTCGGGTTTGTAAACAATGTTGCTCATTTTCCCTTGGAAGGGAATCTTTATGGTTACAGAGTTCTCGTACAAGATCTCCATAATCATCTAAACATTTATTCAATGTCTTGTTCTTGTCGATAGTGGCTTTTAATTCAGTATCAATCTCATGCTGATGAATCTGATATGATGCTTCCCTATTGGTCATAGCACTATTCAACCTTTGATTGTTGACTTGATATTTTCTCGATTCCATGACAGTTGTATTGAGTCTTTCTTCTGCAACTCGTAAATCATGAGAAAACTTCTTGGCTCGTTCTTCATTTATATTGCAATTCTTTTTCAGTTTGGTGACTCCTGTTATCCACTCTTCTGGGATGTTTCCTATGCCAGCATTTTGAAAGGCTTGACTGGCCTTCTAGAAATCTTCATGCATGGTTTTCATTTCTGTGCTCAATTTCTTATTTTGGTCATTCAAGTCCTTCAAATAACATGCTTGAGCTTCATAAAAACCTCCACTACTCTGAATGCCCTGACTGATGTTCTTACCATAGACTGCTTTTGGTATCAATCTAGTAGGATCTTTGTGTAATACTTTTGGTATTAATATAACAGGATCTCTGTGTGCATTGCTCGCTTCCATCCTCAGAGTTTCCTCAGGATGTCTTTCCTTGGCCGCATCATATTTTGTTTGATCATAAAACTTTTTGTCCATTTACGATTTCTTTCCAATTTGATGAACAATCTTTCAAGTCAACACCTTTTGATTATGCCATGATCATGCAATGCAAACAAAAGAAAGCAATATGAACAGATTAGAGCAATGTAACATGCATGAAAAAATAAGAAAAAATAGAATAGTTAATACCAACTAATGGAAAAAAATCTATCTATCAAGGTATAAATCTTAACCTCATGCTTTCTAGTTCCATGCTTTGTTTGGAAAAATTAACCTAACTGCATGATTTCTAGCTCGCATGCATTTATTTAGGAAAAAGAAAATAAAATAAATCAAAAGACGAAAAGTTAGAACTTATTTCTCCTTTGTGTATACCTATGAACAGAGGTTCAGTACTGTGTTAGATCAGGTGAATTTCTAGGGTTTATTATATGCAGAGTTTCAGTTCTAGGAGTAAAGGTACTCGAATTGTCCTTGTTGATGCCCCCTTGGGCCAACCCTCAATCCTAGTCCATCACAGACTTAAGCGGACCGAGTTCAATTCGAGGGGACACATTTCTTTATGCCTGACACGGAGAATAAATTCCCACGAAGACATAGAGCATATGAACCCCGAAAGTTACTTGCTAGGTCTGACACGGAGAATAAATTCTCACGAAGACGTCGCTTTCACTCCCACTTAAAAAGGACAAGCTTATGTTATGCAATGCAAGTGTTGTGTGTGAGGAGAAATGTTCAAACCTCTGACAGATAAATAATGAAATAAAATACTTGAAAAATAAAATGAAACATTAATAAAATAATATACATATAAATATTATGAAAATAATAAGTGTATATAAAAATTTTGAAAAGAAAGAATTAAAAATTAAATATATAATTTTTTAATTAATAGAGACAATTTATAATTGATTTTAAAGTTTGACATCCCCAGCGGAGTCGCCAAGCTGTCGTAACCGATTTTCGTCCGGGCACGAAATATTTATTTGACGGGAAAAGTGATGAGACTAAATGGTTTTTAAAATAATTTGGGAGTCGCCATCGGCCCTTTGAGTCAGGTAGGTCGAATACCTAAAAATTATCTTTTAAAAGAGCTTTTAAGAAAACATCGATTAAAAGATAAACTGATCTGCGTTTTAACCAAAAATTCGTTCTTTTTAATAATAAAAAGGGATTCGTGGTCGGTTACGTTTAGGGAAGGATTAGCACCCCTACAACGCCCAAAATTGGTACTTTTTAATTATAAATTGTCTCTATTATTAGAAATTAAAAATTCAAAGATATATTTAATTTATAATCCTGTTATTTATTAATATAATTGAAAGAATATATATATATAATAACATATCAGAAAAGGGCTTCTAGGTGCTTTAAGACAACTCTTTCTTTTGATATTTAAAAAAATATTTTAATATAGTAAGATATTTATTTATTTAAAAATATTAGAAAAGGGTTTCTAGTTGCTTTAAGACAACTCTTTCCTTCAATATTGATAAATAAATAAATATTAAAATATGTAATAATGTTTCCTAAAAATAATTTAAATAAAACTAAATTATAATTTTTATAATATTTAATTATTTAAAATACCAGAATATGACATCCAGTTGTATTAAGACTACCCTTTTCTTTGATATTAAAAATAAATAAAGATTATTAATTAAAAATATATATATTTATGTGACTAATATGAAAATAATAATAAAATAATATAAAAGTAATAACAAAATAATAAATAAATAATGATTAAAAAGCAATAATATTAATTTGCAAAATATAAAAAAAATCAGGGTCAAAAATGGAAAGAAACAAAATATTATTGACTAAAAAGTAAAATATCAAAATTAAAGGGCATATTTTGAATTATTATAAAAATATAATTACTAATAGTGTAATTTAAACTAATTTATTAATAGGTGATTAAAATAAATATTAATTAAACTATGAGGGACAAAAATGGGTATTTACTCTAATATACATATAAAATACTAGTAAGGACTAAAACATAATAAAAAAAAATTCGAAGACTGAATTAGAACGTTCAGAAGTTAGTTTCAGTGACTAAAATGAATAATTACAAAACTCGAATGGTTGCGGAAAGGGTTTGGCCATGCGCGAAATTAAAAATATACCCCTCCCAAAACGGCGTCGTTTGGGAAGGGGTATAAATGCCCCAAACGGCTGGCCCGAAGGGCCAGCTATGTCATTTCTCTTCTCTCTCAAAAATAAGAGAGCCAGAGTTCTCTCCGGCTTCTCTCTAAAACGAGATAACACAGTCCCGGTCAGCCACCGCTGTCGGGCTCCGACCACCGCTGCCAGCCACCGTTAACGATGGCCGAAAAATTCTAAAATACACCAAAATATAGATCGGGACGATCTAAAACCGATTTCGGTGTTCTTTTTCCCTAAAAAGCTCCCAATCGGAGCAAATCTACGAAAGTACCTTCGGTTTTCGAAGGTTTTTGGTGACGCTTGGAGGCCAATGGTGACTCCGATTGAGGTGTTGTCTTCCTCGGTAAGTTTCTCTCGCTCTTCTCTTTTTGTTTTGTTGTTTGCTTTGTGGTTTGTTGGTTTGCTTCAATTTTTGGTCTCTTGCTCTCCGTCTTTGCTTGCTGTGGCCTCCCCCTTTTTTTTGTAGGATTTGGTGGCTTTTATAGCCACCACGGAGTTCTGTTTGGACCGGTCCTGAGAGGGAAACCTCGGCGAGTCACCAAAGCTAGGCTGGTGACTCACCGTAGGGATGGTTGTTGGTTGCCATCTGGCGTTCTGGAGTGTTCCTTGAGGCGGCGACAGCAGCTGGTTGGACCATCTGGCTTGGGAAGTGTCAGCAGAGGCGGCTGTTGGGAGTTCTTGGAGGCGGCGACAGCAGTGCTAGGGTTTAGAAACCCTAGCTGAAACCCCAAATATTTAGGGTTTCATTTTGGTCTGGGCTAGCAATAAACGGGCCTTGTAAATGGGTTTAGGGTTTTGTTATATTTAATTTAATAATATTAATAATAATATAATAATAATAATAATAATAATTTTAAAAATAATAATTTAAATAATTTAAGTAAAAGGAAAAATTAGTGTTTACATGTGCGAGCACATTAAAAGTCTACAAAGAAAGCTTTAATGACTTTCTTTAATGGTCGATTATAGCTTTAAAGAAGAAGAAGAAGCATATGGGTTTTTTTTAATCGTCGTGGGTTTAAGCTCTTAAAAAATGGCATGAGTTTTATTTCAGCAGCTTCCTAATTATGATTGAAAAAAGATATTGATTTCCCGAAATTAGAGAATGTTTTGAAGTATTTCATATGGTTTGTGAAACAGTTGGAAGGTTTCTATGGAATTAAGGAACAAAAGGAGTTCCTTTCATCCAAGTTTTTCTTTGATATTTTCTTTTATAAATTAACCTAATTAGTATAACTTTGTTTGTCTGCGGAATTTCTGGGTTTTCATGGTTTTCCTTAGCTTCATCCATGTGTAGGAAACTTGAGTTTACAAGCTTCTTATAGGTTGAAAGGAGGAGGAGGAGAAGACGACGAAAGAAAAAGAAGAAAAAAACGTGGGTAATTTTTTTTTTAATTTTTAACTCAAACTTCCTTAATAGGATAATAACAAAAATTAACGATCGAATGACTTAAATCAAATAAATTAATAACGTAAAAAATAAAACATATTAAATTAAAAAAATTGATAGAAAAAAAATGGCATAGTTTACTCTAAAAAAACACCCAAGGATGAAAGAGAATGAAAAAAAAAATCGAATGCCAAAAAGATAACACCAAAGCCAACAAAAGTAATGCAAGGCGATGTTCCCGGGAAATTCATCGTTTGGTTTGTGGAATCTTACATTATTAAGGGGAACATATTTTACTGAAATTGTATTCCCATATTTAGTTTACGGAATTTTACATTACAGGTAATATTTTTCTCAATAGTAGCATCTTTTGATTAAAATGATGTGAATATCATTATCTCTAAATTCTTAGATATTCTTACAATCTCATTATTTTAGACAAAAATATTCTTGGACTAATGAATTATTTTTATAATAATCATTTTAAATTCTTATTTTTTATACTTTACTTAAAATAATAATAATAATAATAATAATATATAAAGAGTTTGATTTACTAAAATATTAATAATTTTGAGAATTTAAAATATTTTATATTTTTAATATTCAATATTTTTCTATTTATATTTTTTTGGGATTGAAAAAATAGTATTATTATAAAAATATAATTATTTAAAATAAATATGATACTTATGAATATTATTTAAAAATATAAATTTAATATATTAATTATATTAATTATATATTAAATGTACTTTCTCCACAAAAGTTAGATAATATAACAATTAAAATATTTTTATGAATTTTCATTCAAATATTTATAAATTAATATTAAAGTTTAACTTTAAAAAAATATATCACAAGGATAATTTGATAAAATATGCATCCAAATAATCTTATATTCCTCAAACCAAACATTATAATCTTACATTCCTACTATATAAACCAAACAATGTAATACAATAATCATATAGTAATATTACATTCTAGTAATGTTATTCCCAAAGGTAATCTTACATTTCGTGAACCAAACGCTCCTTTAATATGGTAGGTGGAATAAGAACCAAAACAACATTGTTTCCTTTACTAGCATTAGAATGTCGTTTTGTAACTACTACTTGAGTTTCAAAATAGGAGTGTGCAAAAATACCCGACTCGGTTGACCCGACTCGCCGACTCGAACTTAAAAAAATCGGGTAATTTTCTAAAACAAATTACCCGACCGGGTTGGATACCCGACACAACATTTTATGGGTCAGGCCCGAGTCACAAAATTGAATTTTTCCAGGTACCCGATTACCCGAATATTAGATTAGATTTTATTTTTTTATTATATATATATATATATATAATGAATGATTTATATTATGGATTATTATATTTTATATTTCGAACTTTTAAATTTTATGTTCGGATGTTTAAATATGTAATTTGAACTTTTGAATATCTAAATTTGTGTATTTTTTAAATTAATAATTTAAAAATAAAAAAGTAGGGTACCCGCAAAATTCGGGTATCCGATTACCGAGTAAACGCAATATCTGGGCCAGAATACGGGTCAAAAAATCACCAACTCAAATATTACGGTACCCGAAAATCTGGGTTTCCGAATTTGCGCAACCCTATTTCAAAAGCCCTTGCCCATCATCTAAATTACGCCTTCTTCTTCAAACCCACTAACAGCAACCACTCCAATTTCCCCTTCAAATCAATGGCAATGGTGACGGATTAGACAAAAATCGAAAGAAACCCTCTCTTCTTCTTCAAATCCAAGGGTTCAAGCTTCAATCTTTTTGCTTTTTTCTTCAATGTATTCCACTCCTTTCATAATCTCATTTTCTCTCTTGCTTTTCTTCCCGATTCTCTTCTTCTTGTTAGGCCCGAGTTTGAATCCTCAGCCTCACGCTAATCTCCGCCACCCGTCGCCTCCTTGCAACCGCCATACTCGACGATCCCTCCAATGAATACTTCGCCGTCGTCTCGCAGTACTGCATCCCTCACCATTCCTTTAATTACATCTACCGCTCCCACTTCACCTCCAAAAACTTCGATCGGACCTCCAAATATGATAACGACTCGTCCGGGTTCACTCAGTATGGTGTCCTCAAGCACAAGTCTTACATCGAGATCCTTTCCGAGGAACCCAGACTGTGGAAACGGTACGCGGCGCGTGGGCGGTTCGTGATGATGCCGGAGGTGCCTTTCGAGGAGTTCCGAGCTGGATCTCAGTTCTTCGTGTTGACTCGGAAAGACTCGTTGTTGGTGCTAAAAGATAGGACGCTTTGGAGTAAATTTAAGCTGCCGTGTTTCCGAGCCGATGAGCGTTACCCGGAGGAGCATTATTTCCCGACCTTGTTATCAATGCAAGATCCAAATGGGGTGACCGGCTATACTTTGGCTCGAGTGAATTGGAACGGAACTGTAGAAGGGCACCCGCATATGTATAAGCCGAAAGAAGTAACCCCCGAGTTGATTCATGAGTTGAGGAAGTCTAATTATTCGGGTTCTTACTTGTTTGCTCGGAAGTTTTCGGCTGATTGTTTAAGACCCTTGATGCGTATTGCTGATTCCCTCATTTTCAGAGATTGAGATTCTTCCTGGTGAGTAAACCATCCTTTTCATGGCTTTCCTTTGTTCGAGTTTGTGTATCGAAATCTTAAAGGTAGGTTTTTTATCTGGGAATCTTAAGAGCCTTGTAATAGTGTGCGGCATGATCTGTAGGTGAATGAACATTGGTACCATTTATTGAGGGAGGGCAGAATATTATGGTAGTACACGAACTACTAAAATCTTAAGGGAGCTAAGTTATAGAATTGCTTTGGGGATGCATTTGGTTCTGTCATTTCATCATCTGCTCTTTTGCATATTGTTCATTGCTAGTCTGTTTTATTACTTTGCTAATTTAGGACTTACTATTTCGAGAAGCTTGGAATGCATATTTGAGCTTGTTGTACTCGGTCATTCATAACTGAAATTTGCTAAAACTTATGGGCATTATCCTATGTAATCAGCCAAATCCAAAGATCCCTTACCTTATAAATGGTGGTGAACTTACTTTAAACATTTTATTGAAAGAATATGAATCTAGTTATCTTGTCATTCTAGTCTCATTAGCCACTTCATGCAAATATGTAATGACACTATCTTTACGTTTGCTATTCATGGACTTTTACTTGACTATATGGCTTTTAAGCATGTAGTCTTCCGAATGGGACGATTGTCTTAAAGAACATTAGCCAAATTTTAAGTTAGACTTGTGAACTTTTAGCAATTTATTGAACCATTTTAGTATGATGAGTTCTTTTGGGACATGCATAACCAAGTTGGAAAGAAGTGAGTTTTAGTTTAGTTCGAGCTTGGGGTCGTCTGCTTCTGTTTAGTACTGTTTGAGAGTTAATGCTAATGTTACCTTTGCAATATTGGGGTTTGTGTGCAGAATTGATTTTGGGCATATATATGAACCAAAACTTAATACAATGTCTTGCTTCCCTGCTTGAGAGGGAGAATTTGTTTGGTATTTCGAGTATGGATGTCTATATCATGTGATTGTGCTGAAGAGATTGTTGTGTTTACTCATGCTGATATTTCTCCTTGTCCGTAAAATGTAGATTTTTTTTTAAAAAAAAATTTAAAAAAAGGCATAATGCCAAAAAAAAAATCCCAATCCCCTAACATTTGATTTTTGGTCCATATTCTTTTTTTTGGGAGCATTTTGGCCGCAAAATTTCATTTTGGAGCAAAAAGGCCCTTCTTTGGGTGGGAATCGTTTGTCAAAAAACGACTAATGCTCCAAAATAGGGGTCTTTTTGCCTTAAAATGAAACGTTGAGGGGCCAAAATGTTCTAGGAAAAAGTATAGGGGCCAAAGTGACTGTTTAACCAAACGTTATTGGGTATTTTTTGGCATCATGCCTTAAAAAAAACCAATTTTGCGACTGTGCAAGGATTGAATGTCTTGGTGTTAGATTCTTCATGTGTTGTGTTTTTCACGGTGATGCCTTTTCACAGGTGAAGACCTTTTTTTCCTGCTCTTTTTGGAGGATGTGTGTAGCTTGGAGCACAAGTTGCAGAGGGGAATATGGATTTGAAAAGGCATAAAAGTGGCCACATCCAAAGTTATAACCCCAAAATTTCCAGCATTGTTAGAATGGACAAAAAGAGCAGCAAAGGGCTAATGCTTTTGATAAAGTTGTAATTTGATGGTGCAAGAGTAGTAGGCATCACCATAACTAGATTTTTCCCATTTCCATGTGTGATTTGTACATATTATGGAATCAAATTCTGTCCTTGTTCCTGATTGAGGCCAAAAGAAAGCACGGTTAAGTTAGAACTGTGTTGGTTCAATTATATTACTCGGCATTTAACCATGTTTACTTAGTTACTAATGTGCCATTTCCTTTCGAAATGGGGTTCCATTCTATTAAGCTAATTAGGAATGTTGAGATATCTTTTGTTAATCGTTGGATAAAAAATCATGCCTGTTTAGCAGAAGTCTTAAAAGAGGGCAGCCTGGTAGGTAGTCTCATGTTCCCTATTTTGAGCCTCAATTGGAATTATTAGTAAAAGTAAAAGGAGATGCTATTCTTCCTAAAAAAAATAAAAAGTTGGTAATCGATTTCTAAAAATTTAAAATTATTATATATTTTAAAAAAAATTATTTTTTTATTGTAAAGTTTTTTTCATCTCTCCAAAATTTTATATAAGTTTGTTCCTCTAAAATTTTAAAACATTCATCATCTAATAAAAAAATCTACGTTCATCCTTGTAAATGTTATTAATAGATTAATTTTTTTATAAAAAAAAAAAGATAATTCGTCCTTGTATATCCTATTAATAGATAATGAAAAATTTAAATAAATACTATTTTATAATAATTCTATGCTAATAAAAAAAAGTTTTCTAAAGAATATATAAAATGTTGCTTAATGTTTAATGCATATGTAGGGATGGGCATGGGTCGGGTTGGGTCGGATTTTTGATCCACCTGACCCGACCCGAGAAAAAGGAATCCTCCGCCCGAGATCATACCCGACCCAGTTAAAACAAGATTTCACACAATCCGAACCCGACCCGATATATAATTTAAAAATACGACCTGAAATAATAAAAAATATTATTTATTCAATGAAAACCGTGACTTAATTAAAAAAATAATATAGAGGAGATATTATTGTAATTATTCTTAAATATATAAGGTAAAATTATATATTTTTTTGGGTTGGATCGGATAAAGTATTTTTCACCCTAAACTCGAAATCTACTCAACCCGAACATCACATTTAAAAAACTCGATCTAACCCAATCGAGTCAGATCGGAACCGTCAGGTTATGATCACATGCCCATCCCTATGCATATGGTACCTTCAATGCATTAAAAGCAAGAAAATTATCTGAACAAGATGCATACGCAAATGGTCCAAGTAGGGGTGTTCAAATAATCGAATTAATTCGATTAATCGATCGAATAGAATTAATTCGGTTAATTCGGTTCGATTATCGAATTAGTTCGGTCGGTTAATGGTTAAATTTTTTTTAGAATTCGGTTAACGGTTAATTCGGTTCGAATTCGGTTAATTAACCGAATTAACCGAAATTAAATTTTAAATTTTAAATATATTATATATAACATATGAGCTCAGCTCAAATCATTTGAAACCCAATTAATAATTTAAGATCTAATAACTTTTAAACCTAAATCAATATTAATTAATTAAAAAATTATATAAATTTTTTATTTTATAATTACATATTATTTAAATTAATTGTAAACTGTTTTTTTTAATTAAAAAATATTAAATATATTATATATAACATATGGGCTAAACCTAAATCATTTAAAACTCAATTAATAATTTAAGATCTAATAACTTTTAAACCTAAATCAATATTAATTAATTAAAAAAATTATCTGAAATTTTTTATTTTATAATTATATATTATTTAAATTAATTATAAACTTTTTTTAATTAAAAAATATTTAATTTTTATATAAATTAGAAAATTTTAAAAAAATTTCGGTTAATTCGAAAATTAATCTAATTAACCGAAATTTATTCGGTTCGGTTAATATGTTTGAAAAAAAGTTCGGTTCGATTAACGATTAAAGAAAAAAAAATTTAATTAATTCGGTTATAATTAATTCTCTTCGATTCGATTTGATTTTAACCGAATGAACAACATATGTCCAAGTTTAGAAAGGAAAGGAAAATAAAAGCAGAAAAAAGAATGTGGGTGGTGTTAGATTAACGACAACAAAGCCCGCGATGCTTTAGCCTTTGCATACTTTTATGGAAAAGTGCTTTTGTACCCTTGCCATTTGGCACATGGTTCGTCCATGTCCGTTCATATTGCTAGAAATTATTGCAAAAGAAGATATTAGTACTATTAAAATAAATAACTAAATATCAGGTAATTTTATTATATGGTATAATTAACATTTTAGAAGTAATTTTGTATGGACTAGTACAATCCATAAATTTAAATATATATATTTTTTAAAAATTAATATAATCTTTCAAATTTCGTATCTGCAAATAGTATTCTTTTTTTTAGAAAGTTTTACGTGCGGCACCTTTAATATAAGGTTAAGATAAAACACTATTGGTTTTGTTATTATTTTTTAATAGAACCGGTAAAAAATTACTAGAAATATTATTATTTCTACCGATTTTGTTTTTATTGAACGCTTTATCGGTTTTGTTATTTTTTCTACTGATTTTGTTATTATTGCGCACTTTACCGAAAATGTTAAAAAACATTAATGTTTTAGATAGAAATAATAATATTTTAGATTATTTTTTACCGATTTTGTTAAAAAAATAATAACAAAACAGATAGTACCTTACCTTAACCTTATATTAAGGCTGCGGTGATAAATCATTTTGTCAAATAATATAATGAGTTGCACATAATTGGTAAGAAAGACAACTAAAAGTCTTTCATGAAAGGTGATTAATTATTCACGTATTCGTATGTAATTTCATATAGTTTATCTCAATATAGATCACTTGAATTAAGGTTATCAAATCATTAAGAGAAATATTAAATATTGTTTTCTTTTATTCTTTAGTAAATTTTATATTAAGAGAAATATTTTAAAAATTGTCTCAATACTAAAACTTTTCTATGTAAATAGACTTTTACTCAAAAAAAAATGTATTTTCTTTTATTAATTTTAATAATTTGTAATCTTTAACATTATTAATATATTATCTATGAGTTGGACATTCCAAATTAAGAGGAATATAATTATAATATACTTTAACCACATCAATAATATAAAATATAGATTAATCATTTAATGGATTAACATGGCAAATATAAAGTAGGGTAAATTTCAAAATTTTCAAAATTATACATAAGTTTAGTTTTTGTTTAATTTTAATATTCATGTAGAAAATTTGATGTTAAAGTTTAAAAAATTAAAAATGTAGATATTAAGACGAACCAAAATTAATAATTTAATACTAAACAAATTAAAATTTTAACTGTATGATGTTAAAATACAATAAAATCTAAATGTTAAATATAATTTTAAAAAATTTACCCATGAACTAATTTAAGTAGGATGATAATGTTAAGTGGAATTACTGAAAGTATTTAGGACCCAAAGAACCAAACAAAATCGAAGGCATGGGAGACGACATCGGAGGAAGCAAGAAATTTCCACACACGTGGATGGTGGGGGCTGTCCAGTCGAGCGTAGAAAACGCAAGACCACCATGCCAGTCACCCACACACAAATCATGTAATAAAAAACTTACCCTACAAACAAGAACCAGTAATAATGGTTTGAACTCCTTGACGTTTGTAGTTATTTTTTCCCTAGAAAAAAGAGAGCAGAGGTCACCATTTCCAGGGTGCCGCTGCTCTAGACAAATTCAAATATGGCGAAAAAACAAGCGTGGGTTCACTCTTCTCACCCTCGTTGGCCTTCTTATCTCTTCTTCTTGATCGTTGCCCTTTCTGTCTTTTCCCTTGTTGCCATCCTCATCTACAAGGTCCACCCTTTTCTTTTCCTTTATATATAAATGGCTTTCCTTTGCTTGTAATGAAAATAGAAATGTTCTGATGGTTTTGTTTTTTTTTTGGGAGATTTTAGGTGGATAATTTCGCTTCACAAACAAAAACAATCGTGGGACATAATTTAGAGCCGACGCCGTGGCATCTTTTCGAGCCGAAGAACTTCACTGACGAATCCCGACATATCCGTGCTTACAAGATCATCCAATGCTCGTATCTAACTTGTCCCTACGCCGCCGCCGACGGTGGCGCTCAACCCTCGGAGCTGGAGAAACGGCGGGGTTTGGTCTCATCTCGTACCCCTCCAAAGTGCCCAACTTTTTTCAAGTTCATTTACCGTGATCTTGAACCGTGGTTCAATACCCGGATATCCATGGACCAAATAACTCAGGCCAAGGAGCATGCCGCTTTTCGTATTGTTATTGTCGAAGGGAAACTGTTTGTTGATTTGTATTATGCTTGTGTACAGAGTAGAATGATGTTTACACTATGGGGGATTTTACAGCTTTTGAAAAAGTACCCTGGGATGGTCCCTGATGTCGATATCATGTTCGATTGTATGGATAAGCCTTCCATCGAGAGGAATCGATTCGGAAACGGGTCTTTGCCGGTACCTCTGTTCCGGTATTGCACGACGGAGGCTCACTTGGACATCCCTTTTCCTGACTGGTCCTTTTGGGGATGGTAAGAATTACTGAAACCACAACTTTTGTTGAGATTATAATTTGTCTACATTCACTATAAGATTGTATGTGAATAGCTTAAATTGCTCGTAAGCCGGGAGTATGAGCGGTTGCAGATAACTTGCTATGGATTATGCCCCGGGTTTTAAATCGTTCATGATTCTATGCAGATAGCATGTTAAATGGAATAGACCATTTGATGGAATTATGAATTGTATGAATATAGCCAAGCTTAACAACATTGTGTTCCTCTATGCAAGTTTGTCTGCTTATATTTGTACCATTGTATGTCACTGCAATCCATGCTTCATGTTCGATTACTCCTGTAAGTCGTAATGTAAATTTTGCTGTTGTGGTATATGAGATGTGGTTTATGATTGATCGGTGTTTGTTTTGGTGGATATTGGTTTGAATTCTTGGGAATGTCTTTATCAATGACTTGTCTGCAGGTCGGAAGTAAATATTAAGCCATGGGATGAGCAGTTCAAAGAGATTAAGCAGGGATCACGAACTCAAACCTGGGCGAAGAAGATAAAACGTGCCTATTGGAAAGGAAACCCAGACGTTCAGTCTCCAATACGTACAGAGCTAATGCGGTGCAATGACTCTAGTCTGTGGGGTACAGAAATCATTCGTCAGGTTGGTTTGAAATTGTTTTGTTAATGCATGAATTTCTCTGCTGTAGAAATGATATGTGTAACAACCAAAGTTATGCTCTTCCAAATGCAATAATGACAATGCTATATACGTTATTCGATGATGTTGCTTTTCATTGTGCCGTACAGAACTGGACCGAAGAAGCAAAGGCTGGGTATGAGCGGTCCAAACTATCCAATCAATGTAAACATCGGTGAGTTCTCTTCTTCGATTTATGTTACTGTACCAGTTAGTTAAGTTTTTTCTGTCTGATATTATTACAGCACACATAATTACATACAACATTCACGTTCGAGTCTGGAGAACACAGCCATATGCTAGTGTGACGGGCCTAAACAAGCTTGTAAACTACGGGTTACCGTTTTATTTGAATAGGTCTCCAAGCTTTAAGTAGATGAGCCTTTTAGAATGTTTCAGCTATTGAGCTTGTCTCGGTGGGTTATGATGGTCCCATACGAACAACTTGGATTTGCTGTGTGAACCTTAATCATTCTTAAACGAATATGCTGACATTTGTGTTTTGTTTTCTCTGCAGTTATAAGATATATGCTGAAGGCTACGCTTGGTCTGTAAGCTTGAAATATATTCTATCATGTGGTTCACTTCCTCTAATTATTTCCCCACAATATGAAGACTTCTTCAGTCGTGCTCTTATTCCTAAGTTAAACTACTGGCCCGTCTCTTCCATCGATGTATGTCGCTCCATCAAGTTCGCCGTTGACTGGGGCAATTCAAACCCATATCAGGTGTGATTTTTTGCCTCTAAATTATGAAAAACTTATAAACATGCATGAAACTTGACCCTGAGGCCAAGTAACACATAGATCATCACCTTTCTCTAAGAAGCATGTTAATCATACCGTATTGTACATGTTTTGGGTCATGTTTTATGGATTCGATCATGATCAATTATAATGAATATCACTCGATTGAAACCGCGAAACTGAATTTAAAATCTTGAATCGAATAGTAGTACATGACTACATTCTTTCTTTCTGGTTTATTTGGTTAACCAGGCACAGGCAATCGGAAAAAGAGCGCAGCAACTGATGCAAAGTATGAGCATGGATCAGGTTTACCATTACATGTTTCACCTGATTTCGGAATATGCAAAGCTGCAAGACTTTAAGCCAGTCCCGCCGCCATCGGCTCAGCAAGTATGCGAAGAATCCATGCTCTGCTTTGCAGACGAAAAGCAAAAGGAACTACTTAAGAAATCAGCAGTCACTTCGGTTTCGACGACACCGCCATGCACACTTACCAGGAGTCCCAACCCGAATTTTTTCACTGCTTGGGCTGAAAAGACGCAGAAGATAATCGATGAGGTGAAAGACATGGAGAATAGAACAAATGCGGCTATCACTTAGATATGTATAGTACGGATTTAGGTATTCTGTTCGACATTCATACCGAAAAAAAACCCATTTTTCTTACTGATTATGTTTTATATTTATACATTAATTCAAAAGAATAGCACATTATACAAATTGTAAGATTAGTGATGTTTGAACTCAAAACCTTTACGAATAACAATTATCTCTTTAACTATTAAGGTCGTTTTGTTCGGGCACATACAAAGAGTTTAACCTCTGCTCTCTATAGCACGTTTTCCCCTCTGCTCTTTGTGGCACGCTTCCTTCATTTTTGGTTTTTTCTCTTGCTTTTTTAAGTTTTGTACTCGATCGATCACATCGATGAATACTTGAAAAATCTGTCGATCGATCGTGGAGAGTGTCACTTTGACAAGCAACTGTGGAGAGTGTGTTACTTTGCTTGTTGATTAAGGTGAATCATATCCAGTAACGTCGTTCATTCATTGTTTTGTTGGTACTTTTCTTACCACAAGTATTGTTAACTTCCAATCTATGAGGACAACATTGGCAAATGTGTGGCATCTGATAGGAGGCATTTCTATTTTAGATTTGGACAATAATCGTTTCTTTTTCATATTTATCTCTCGGTTGATGCTGATCGAATTGAAGCAGGAGACCCTTGGAATTTCAACTCTCATCTTCTTATTCTTCACAGGTTGAAAACGAGAATCCTTTGTTGGTTCCGTTTAAACACTTGAGTTGTTGGGTTTTGATCCACGATATCCTTTCTGGGTTGATGTCGACAAGGTTGGCTAAATCTCTTGGAGATTTTATTGGTGTCTTTCTCGACTACGACTCTTCTGCAATTTCTCCTGGTTATAAGGGCATCATGCGTATCAGGGTTCATCTAGATGTTCGTATGCCTCCTAAACGTTGCAAGAAATTGGCATTATCAGACGGTATTACTAATTTTGTCCGTTTTGAATATGAGCAGTTGACCCTTTTCTGCTTTAAAACTTGTCCGTAGGGAGAGTTTTTGTCCGATCAGGGTGTCGGTGGATCATCGAAAAATTATGTTTGGCTCGGACAACTCTATCTCCTTCACGACAATCTATTCCTCCGAAGAGCGAGTGGTTGAAAGATGAAAGTTTGCTTGATGCTCAATCAATGGATCAATCAAAGAGAGTAATGGAGGGAACGAGTCAATTTCCTTCTTTACCACTTACTACCGTTATGACAAGATTTAATCCTATCGACAAGTCATTGGGGCATCATAACTCCCCTTTCTCTCATTTAGCGGCCATCAATGTTGCTCAACTGCCCATTATTCCCTTAATAATTAATGATACATGTATGGCTAATGCAAAAAGAAGCTGTGGTTACCACAACGGTTTTGATGTGGCAATAGTTGGCTCAAAAGGTGGTCTTTCACTTGGGTGGCCACATGATGTTAAAGGTTACTCTACGTAGGTTTTCTCAATTCTATATTGATGTACTCAAGCTTCTTCTATCATGCTCCAGTGCTACTAAACACCTTAAGGAAATCCAATTCACCTTCTATAAAACGCTCCGTATTTAGATTCAATTCAAATTGGACGCTCGAAGAGGATTGTGGTAAGTTAATCAAAGAATTTGACTAACCGTTTAGTGCCAACCTTTCTGAGAAACTATCTCATTTGGGTGATAAACTTAAAGCTTGGAGTCGATACCATAAGGCTAAACTAAAACATTATTCTGATTCTTTAAAAGCAAGATTAATTGATCACTAAACTCATATAGTCAATAGTTAGAATAGGATGTCATTTAAGGCATCCGAGTTCCAACAATCTGGGAAAGAAAAGGCGACTTCCATAATACCCTAAGGGTTGTTTGGTTCACATCATACAATATTACTGGGGGAATGAAATATCATTCTCCCGTTTGGTTGGCCGAAAATCTTATTCTCAATAATCTTTATTACTAACAATAGATTTTTTTGGGTATATTACCGGGAATGTGATTACCTCACTTCCCTTAAGGTGTGTTTGGTTGGGGGAATGTGAGATTCCCATGGGAATAGAATTCACATTCCCCCGTTTGGTTGGCCGGGAATGTCATTCTAGGTAATCTTACATTACCAATAGTGAATTTTTTTGGGTATATTACCGGGAATGTCATTACCTCCATTTCCTTAGGTATTGTTGGATTACCGGCGTTTTGGACTAAAATGCCCTTAATTTTTTTTCTTTTAAAAATATCATTATTCTGTCATTGAATAATAAAAATTCTACGAAGGTTAAATTAGAAATTTATCCTTAAACTATTTTAGATTTACAAAAAAAAAATCTATAATTAAAATTTTATATGAAGTTTAGGGGTTAAAATAAAATTTTACCCTTTCATTAAATCTTTTTATATTTTCAATTTTGTAAAAAAATTATATAAATTTTATGAATTTAATTTTTTTAAAGAAAATATATAAATATTTTCCAACTTGTTAAAAAACAAATATATAATAAGGACAATTTGGTCAAATATACATTCCAATAATCTTTTATTCTTTTAACCAAACACGGTCATCTTACATTCCTGCTAAACCAACCAAACACAAAATACAACATTCACAATAATCATATTCACTGGTAATCTTTTATTCCCACTGGTAATCTTACATTCCATGAACCAAACGCACATTGTAACCCCCTAGACCCGACCTATGCGTTTCGACTAAGTCTAATGGATCACATTATGATTATTAAAGACATTTTCCGAAACCGTTATTTCATCAATATAAAATCACATTATAAATAACATGAAATTATAAACAAATTATACTATCAAAATCCAACTCGTAAATATAGTACCAATAAGTAATAAATTAATTTAAAACATGTCTTCAAATTTAAAATCACACTAAACCGAACAGTAATAGCAAAAGAGTCATCATTATAAAATCCGATATTTTAAAATAAGGTCCATGTCACCAAAATAAAATCAACTTGCAAAATAAAAACATTACAATCTGATTTACTTCAAGAGATATGTTGATCCTCCAAGTGCTCAAACCGAGGTATCTAACCAACAGTATTTGAAAGGGGGAAAACATTTTCGAAAGGTGAGCTAGGCTCAGTGTGTCCCAACATTTCCATAAAATCACAATAGGTACAAATCATAGTCCAGTAAATCTCACAAATTCATAAAAGAGTTTAACTTTTGAAAATCATAGTTTAAACCCTTTTCTGGTACACCATCAGTAGTTCCCAAAATTATTTTCCATATAGCTTACTTTATGCACATAGCAAAAAAAAAAGCCGACTTAAGGATAGGCTATGAAGCTTGTATCCTTAAGCCCAAGTCAATAAGTCCATATAGCTTACCCTAAGCACACAGCAAAGGAAAGCCGACCTAATGAAACATCTTGGGGCCCTCAAGAGTCACAATAGGCCCATTTAGCTTGATCAGAGCTATTCCATCGTAATTCAATTACAAAATTCAATTGCACCGTGACATAAATTCCATAAATCCAAAAACATGGTAATCATATACCATTTCAAAACAAAAATTAGATAGCAGCCATATACCATAAATTGTCACATTAAATTGGTGCATCCATAAAACAATAACCAATGAATTCGGTGTACCACATATTAAAACCAATAAAACAGTTCAGTAATAAGTAGGGAACACACCTCGACAATAGGTTCAAATAGCAAATCTACTGATTGCTGTTTTCACCACGCTCTGCTACAGTTTTCGAACCTATTTTACAATAACACTATATTACTTATGAGTAATATAAATAGATCTCTAAAATCATAAAATTTACGGGTCTTACGGGTGAATACTGGCACACGTGGTTTAACTTATCTAGAAGAGCTGGGTCGAGCTGTCGAACGATCCGGAGAGTCTCTTGTACCTTCAAACAATAATAATTTATCAGTCTCAAATCCTATTTAATTGTTCAAAGCTAAACTTTTTAAGTATATAAGCATTTTTCGGGTTTGACTATCAATTTGGGGTATTTGGAGTCTGAATTTGGCCAAACGGATTGCAGAATCGGAATCAAGGCGTCGAAAAACATAAAGTATGACTTTCCGAAAATTCAAATTCTTGGTCAAAGTCAAAGTCAACCACTTTGACCGTCGATTTGGAGGCCTTTGGTTTCGAATTTGACGAAACGGACTTCGGAAACAGATTCGAGACGTCGAAAACTATCAGAATAGGTATACTCGGAAAAGATTAACGGTCGTTTAATGCTCGGTCAAAGCCATTTTAAGTTTTGGTCAAAGGAAGTCAACGGTCGGGTCGGGTCGGGTCTGGTTGGTCGGGTCAGGTCAGACCGGTCAAAACGGTTCGAATCGGTCAAAACTGGTCGAAACCAGTCAAACCGGTTTCCAGCAGCGTCCACTCTCCCTGCGGCGGCGCGTGTGGCGCGTGAGGCCTCCTCCAGGGCCCTAAAAATACCGGAAAAATTTCTAAAAATTATTTTGAGCGATTTCGAGATACTTACAACGATCGATTCAAATTTTTGAACGGCGGAGAGCTCGATTTCAACTCGGCCGAATCTTTGACTGCTCCACCTCCTCACGCGCCGCTGTCGACGGCGAACAAGGTTGACACCGGTGGACTCGAAATGACACAAGGAACACGATGGTGCAGGAGGTGTCGTAAACGGAGCAACGATAGGCGGTGAATTTAAGATTTTCCCGGTGATAGAGCTAAAAAAAACGTCGATACTTTGACTGGAAATTCCCAACGTTTGGCCGCGTTTCGCTTCAATTAAATTGAAGAGTTTGTTCCTCGCTCGATGATGAACACAACGGTGGTTTCAAAATGACGATCGGAATTCGGACGACGTCTGGATCTGGGTCGAAAACGGACGTAGGGGAAAGGAAATTTGGGGTGGTGGTTTTCTGTTTTGAATCAGAAAATCACCCACACATATAACATATATAACCAAAATTCACCTAATTTTATTGGGTAAATTCAGGGCAGAGTCCCTAAATTTTTTTTTAACTCTAACACAAGCTCCAAATTTTAAAATCTTTCAATTTAGTCCCCAATTTTCGCCAATTTTTACAATTAACCTCCAATTTCAATTAAATATTATTTTTGTAAAAAAAATTCGGGTTGTTACAATTCTCCCCCTCTATAAGAAATTTCGTCCTCGAAATTTACCT